AAACCCCTAAACCCCTAAACCTGAAGACCCCAAAACCATAGCACAGCCGACGCCCTGGTCTGAGGTGACGACGCTGGCCAAGCTGGACCGGGGGGACCTCCTCCTGCTTTTGACGGTGCTGAAGGTGTTGCCACCGCTTTGGGTTTAGGGTTTAGGGGCCACCCCTTCTTTGGGCTGCAGGGTTTCATGAGGTGCTGACTCGTTTTCCGGGTTCGTGGACTTCTTTTGAATTTAGAGATTGAGTGTCGAAGGGTTTAGTGTTCAAGATTCAGTTAGTGTTTCTAAAACCTAAACCCTAAACCCTAAACCCTAAACCCTAAACCCTAAACCCTAAACCCTAAACCCCTAAGCCCTACCTGAAGCCCTAACTTCTGAACCCAGCGAAACGAAATCCTAGGCCCCAGGGTCTAGTCCAATTACATTTCAAATCATACAGCGTGCCAAAACCCGCAGAAGGGACCCGACGATGAATATAAAGGCCTAAACAATTACCTATACTATTCTTGAGGCTCCTTATTCTTATAGTTATCGCATAATATACAACCCTATTCTAAGTATCAAGACCCCTATATTGCACCCTGCTCTCGTGGCCTTAAAGTAACCCGACTGTCGCCGGCTCGGGGTGGGCGTGAGGTCTCGGGTCAGGGGCTGGGGGGGCTTAAGGTTGAATCTAAACCTTAGGGCTTTTAGGGTTCAGGGTTTAGCCGTACTTTGAACCCTAAACGTTAAACCTAAACCTTAAACCCTAAACCCTAAACCCTAACCTTAAACCTAAACCCTAAACCCTAAAACCCTAAACCTTAAAGCCCTAAACCCTAAACCCTGTTCTTGTTGACAGCACCCGGCCCTTGCGCATCGGAAGTTGGACCAAGCAGGACAAGCTTTAGTAGAGGCACTCTCATCTCGCTCCTTTCGCAGCCATGGGTGACGAGGAGGCACGGCGTTAGGGTTTAGGGTTTAGGGGTTTAGGGGTTCAGGGTTTAGGGCTTTAGGGGTTTAGGGTTTAGGGGTTTAGGGTTTAGGGGTTTAGGGTTTAGGGTTTAGGGTTCAGGGTGGTCTTCCTCCAGGGCTCCCTATTATCATAAGGCCCTTTCTGAGGCCCTCTATTTATATGGGATCCTACACTTATCATGAGGACCACCTGCTAATTTATTATGACTAGGGTTATGTTCTAATCATTAAGGCCCCTACCTTAGCAGGGTTGAGGGTTTAACGGTTTCGGGTTTTGGGGGGACTTCAGACATAGACCACCCCGGCAGGGCCCATGCACATAAGACCTCATACTACATCCTCTCAATTTCATAAAGCTCGTTCAGGAACCCCTACCACAGAGAACTGATATGGAGCTTCTGCAAGTTCTTTCGAGGTTTCCGGCCCTAAACCCTAAACCCTAAATGCCTAAACCCTAGACCTAATTTCTGGTACAGCGCAGCGGAAAGGGCACTCTTCGAAGCAGAGCTTCTTCATGCTCTGAACTGCTTCAGCTGTTTGAAATCTCAACTCGGTTCAAGGGTTTTAGGGTTTAGGGTTTAGGGTTCAGGTTCAGGGTTCAATGTTTAGGGCTGAGCCCCAAGCCCTGAACTTGTTGCAGTTGTGTTCTGCTCGGGCCTGCTTGTTCCCTTCTGAGCAGGGTCTCTCTACCCTGCGTTTGCACTTTTGGGCTTCGGCACTCGGAGTCACCTCCTCACATCCTAAGCCCTAAACCCTAAACCCTAAACCCTGAACCCTAAACCCTAAACCCTAAACCCTAAACCCTAAAACCCTAAACCCAAACCCTAAAACCTAAACCCTAAAACCCTAAACCGACGCCTAAGCCCCTTGTGAATCCCCAAAGGCCAACCGGTAGCATACCGGGCCTTGATAATTAGAATAGGGTTTTGGGGTTTAGGGTTTAGGGTTTAGGGTTTAGGGTTTAGGGGATCCTTCGTGAGCTCTATAAGGGTTTAGGGTTTAGGGTGTAGGGGCCTGAAAAATTAGATTTTGGGGTATCTTGTACAGGAACCCACAAAGGGTTCTATAAGGGCTTAGGGTTTAGGGTTTAGGGTGTAGGGGCCTTAATGATTAGAATAGGGGTTTGGGGGTATATCATAGTAGAAACATATGAAGGAGCCCCCTTAATGCTATTCTAAGTATTAAGGCCCCTACAGTTTCCTTCAAGCATAATAGCAAAGCCTCCTCCGATCAGAATTTATCAACCCTACATAGCCTCTGCGGTACATTCCGTTAGCCAAGGGTTACTGGACAACTAAACCCTAAACCCTAAACCCTAAGATGTAAGCCCGAAGCCCCAACGCCGAAATCCCAAGACGGGCGGCAGGTTGCGGCGTTGGTGGTGGACAACGGCAGCGGCATGTGCAAGGCTGGGTTTCAAACTGACCCGAGCCAAGGAACCTACACCTCACGCGTTTTTGATGGAAACCCTACACCCTAGACCAGTAAACCCTAAACCCAAAACCTTAAACCCTAAGAAGTGGCACCCGCCATCTGTCCTAAAACTGGAAACCCTGCACTTACATCAAAGCTTCAGGAGCTGGTCCCGAGCAGCATTTCTTTCAACACCCTCCTATTCTCGTATCGTCTATCTGGGTTTAGGGTTTAGGGTTTAGGGTATCCGTTTGGTGTCGTCTAGGCCACTGGGCGCCTATGGACACGTAGCCTCGACGCTAAGCTTTGCTTCTCTTTTTGCTTCTGGCTACACGTGAAGGGCTCCAGCCCCAACCCCAAACCATAAACCCCGCTCGGCAGTGTTGCCCAAAAGCCACAACCCAACGTTGATGTCTCTGTGCTCAGGGTTGTCATGGCTTGGGGCAGGTTTGCAATTCTCAAGGGAGTTCGTTTTTTGGGGACACATCAGTAAGGGCCGAAGCTCACCCTTGACCGAGCCCCAAACCCAACTGATGACGCTAAAACCCTGAAGCCCTGAACCCTGAGCCCTTAGCCCTGTAGCATTGCTGGGTTTAGGGTTTAGGGTTTGGGGTTTAGGGTTTAGGGTTTAGGGTTTACTCTGTGTATGAGGCTGGCTTCGCCGGCGATGACGCCCCTCGCGCCGTGTTCCCCTCTATCGTGGGGCGCCCGAAGATGCCCGGCATCATGGTGGGCATGGACCAGAAGGACGCTGGACCCCAAAGCCTAAACCCTGAAGCCCCTAGACCCTAAACCCTAAACCATAAAACTTAAGGCCAGCGACCCTGAAGCTCAAAGCTTAACTCCTACACTCCAAACGACAAACCCCGAAGTCCAAAGCCCGAAACCCCAGGCCTTGAAACCCAAGTCGCTAAATCCTGCAACCTAAAGTCTAAATCCTAAAGGCCTAAAGTCGCGGTCCCATAGCCTCTTGAGGCCGAAAGCCTCAAAGCCCTAAGCTTAGGGGTTAGGCTTTGCACAGCCTCATAGCATCCTAAACCCCAACCCCCTTGAATTCCCCCAAAGCTCTACAAACCCTAAACCCTAAACCCTAAACCCTAAACCCTAAACCCTAAACCCCCTAGATCCCCCCCAAAAGGCCTAGAACTCAGGGGTTTTGGGGTAACTCCGGTAACTCCCCCGCCAGGACTCCTACGTCGGTGACGAGGCGCAGAGCAAGCGTGGTGTGACCTGGTGGCCTGTAACAGTAGGGTTTCCAAGGGGTTTCGGGAGTTTATGGAGCTCACAGAACAGGGTTCCTCTAAAGGGTTCGTTTTGAAGGGTCAAGGGTTGAGGGTCTAGGGATGAAAAAAGTGCTTTAGCAATTGGGATAGAGTTTTAGAGGGGTCTTAGAAATAATAGCAACAGGCTGTTCGTTGGGGGCTTGATACGGTGCTCTGGCTCGAACCAAGCCTTGAGGTCGCAGCCTTGTCGCAAGACACTATCGCCGGCGTGCCATTCCACGGCAAACCCGAAACTAAACCCTAAACCCTAAACCTGTACCATTTTGGCTCAAGAGGCTGACCAATTAAGGCCTTGCATAGCTGGTGGAGCCGTGGTGGTGATTGTCGGATCTGGCCTGCAGGGACTCGAGGTCGTACTGGCGAGGACAACTGTGGGCGACGACAAGCTGAAACCCTCGTTTAGGGTTTAGGGTTTAGGGTTTAGGGTTTAGGGTTTAGGATTCACAGAGCTTTGCCCTTGACTTATCACTGAGACTTGGTAAGGGTCTCAGGAAAATCAAAGCTGTACACCGAAGTTGTGCTTGCTATGCACCGCCAAAGCTTGCTTTGCCTCTTGACGAGGACGAGTTGGAAAACAGTGGGCTCAGAAGTTGGGGCAAGCAGTGCTGGCATAGTTGCTGCAACCAATCAGAGGGCGCCCTCCTCCGGGATGAAGGTTGTCAGCATGGCGAATTGCAGGAGGAGCAGCTGGGACGGGTCTGCGGCGTCTTCGGCTCCTGTGGTGGATGTCATGGCTTCGCATGTGGATGGTGATGCTGGGTCAGATGGAGGGTGCTCATTTGGAAATCGGATGGATGGAGCAGGTGATCGTGCAAGTTCACGAAGTCCACGTCGCAGCTCACGCGCTGATGATGGCAATGAGGGTGACACTTCATGCTGTGGTGACGAGGGGTGTGATCGTGAAGACTCTTCTGTTTCATGGGATTTTTAGTCTCGCCTTCTGGTGGAGGGCCCACGGGCCAGTGCCGGCGGAGAGAGAAGATGCACAGCCCCACTTTAAAAAAGAACAAACCCTAGACCCTAACCCTAGCAGGACGTGCCAATGCTGGTCCGCCCTTGAAGCGAAACTTATGACGTGGGTTTTTTGGGGTGCCCACTGGGAGAACGTCGCTTTTGCCTGGGTGTCTCTGTTTGGGATTTAGGGTCAGTAATTCCGTTTAAGGGTTCCCTTCCAAGGGGTCCCAAGATTGCTAGATTTTTGTTTGAGCTAGATGGATAACTGGAGTTGTTTTGGACCTCCTTATTTCAAGGAAAAGAACTGATCGGGTTAACTGTTAGGTGTCTCAGGCCTGGTCGCTCCAATCAAAACAGGCAACAACAGAACCTGCACACATTCTCAACCCATACCAACCACTTTAAAACTGCAGCATGCTTTAGCATGTTAAAGCACTGTTAAGGTGCTGACTTTGAAGTACCCCATCGAGCACGGCATCGTCACCAACTGGGACGACATGGCTCCTGGGACGCAATCATCTCG